AGGCGGGTCTCGAACCCGCGGGCTCAGGCCATCCACTCACCTCAGCCTCCCAAAGGCGCGGAATTCCAGGCTGAGCCACCGAGCCCGGCTTCATTTTGATTTATTGTAGAGACGAGGTCTCTCCAAGTTGCCCAGGCGGGTCTCGAACCTGTGGGCTCAGGCAACCCACTCCCCTCAGCCTCCCAAAGGCGCAGGATTACAGGCTGAGCCACCGAGCCCAGCTGACTTTTTTTTTTTTAACCTCATTTTTCAATAGTATGGATATACCTTATATTTTTTCATCCCTTTGATGAAAGATGATTAAGGTGTCTTTCCCCCTAAATGTTCGCTGTTATGAATAATGCTGCAATCTTGTTCATTTTCCAAAAAGCATTACTGTAGGGCATAGTTTTGTTGACTCAGAGATCACAGAATTGCTCTTCCAAAAACTCTCTTTACCAATTTACAGCCCCACCAGCACTATCCCAGAGTGTTTGCTTCACCATACCCTGGTCAAATGTTCTCAACCTTTTAGCTTTTTGTAAAATCAGATGAAAAATTGTATTTCACTTTTTTTTTGGATTGGAAAATATCATTTATTTAGAAAGTAAATTAGAGAAGAGAGGGAGATTCACCTCCCCAAGGTAGGGGAGGAGGCCAAAGCCAGGAAACATGGCAACCACAGCTCAAAGAGCCACGTGGACACTCCAGGGCGTTTAACAAAGCAATTGTCCCACTTTTTTTTTTTAAGTTAAGGTCTCACTCTGTTGTTTAGGCTGGAATGCAGGGGCACAGCCATGGCTCACCACAGCCTGAATTCCTCAGCTCAGGTCATCCTTCTGCCTCAACCTCTGGAGTAGCTGGGATTGCACACCACCACACCCGGCTAATTTTTTTTTTCTGGAGACAAAGTCTTGCTATTTCATTTGTTTTTCTTCTGTGATTTGCCGACTTGTTTTTCTTTTTTTTTTTTTTTTTGAGTTGGAGTCTCACTGCCACCCGGACTGGAGTGCAGTGGCACACTCACGGCCACCCCAGCATCGACCTGCTGGGCTCCGACAGTCCTTCCAAGTAGCCGGAACTACAGGCATATGCTACCTCGCCTGGCTAATTTTTGACTTATTGTAGAGATGAGGTCTCACCAAGTTGCCCAGGCGGATCTTGAAACTGCGGGCTCAGGCAATCCATTTGCCTTGGCCTCCTAAAGTTCTGGGATTACAGGCTGAGCCACCAAGCGCTGTTTTTCTTAGCACGATTATATCTACATGCTATTACTGCTGATATAACTGCCATTCACGATTAATAAAATTGTATAATTTTAATTTTAATTTAGCTCTAAATTTAAAAAATGATTATTATTTTTTTGAGTTGGAGTCTTACTCTCACACAGACTGGAGTGCAGTGGCACACTCACGGTCACTACAGTCTCAATCTGCAGTGCTCAGGCGATCCTTCCGCCTCAGCCTTCCAGGTAGCTGGAATTACAGACACGCACCACCACACCAACTAATTTTTTGCTTTATTATGGAGATAAGCTCTCACCAGGTTGCCCAGTCTGGTATAGAACCTGTGGGCTCAGGCAATCCTCTCACCTCGGCCTCCCAAAGTGCTGGGATTATAGGCATGAGCCACTGCACCCAGCCTAAATTTAAAAAAATTAAAACAGTTGCCATGTTGCCCAGGCTGTACGCAAATTCCTGGGCTAAAGCAATCCTCCCGCCTCAGCCTCCTGAGTAGTCAGAGGGGTGCACCACCATATCTGGCCAAGAAAGGAATTTAAGTGTTTCACTACAAAAAAAAAAAAAATCAACTAAACAGAAGACAGTAATGCAAGAAATGAGAAACAAAAAAGCTATAAGGCATATAAAAAATAAATAGCAAAATGAAGAAGTCCCGCCTTAATTTTTTTTTTTTTTGAGTTGGAGTCTCACTCTGTCGCCCAGACTGGAGTGCAGTGGCCGCTGCCGGCCACCGCTGCCTCGACCCGCTGGGCTCCGGCGATCCTTCCGCCTCAGCCTTCCAAGTAGCTGGAACTATAGGCACGCACTGCCATGCCCGGCTAGTTTTTGATTTATTGTAGAGATGAGGTCTCGCTGAGTTGCCCAGGTGGGTCTCGAACCCGTGGGCTCAGGCAATCCACTCACCTCAGCCTCCCAAGGTGCGGGGTTACAGGCTGAGCCACTGAGCCTGGCTAGAAGTCTCTCTTTATAAGTAATTATCTTTTTTTTTTTTTTTCAGTCGGGATCGTGCTTTGTCACCTAGACATGTGTAATGACACACTCACAGCCACCTCAGCCTCTACCTGCTGGGCTCACGCAATCCTTCCACATCAGCCTTCCAAGTAGCTGAAACTATAGGCCCACGGCACCTTGTGCTGCCTAATTTTTGTATTTATTGTAGAGAAGAGGTCTTGCCAAGTTGCCCAGGCGGTCTCAAATCCGTGGGCTCAGGCAATCCTCTCACCTCAGCCTCACGAAGTGCTGAGGTTATAGGTGGGGGCCACTACACTGCCAGGCGTGGTGGCACACACCTGTAGTTCCAGCTACTTGGAAGTTTGAGGTAGAAGGATTACCTGAGCCCAGGAGGTCGAGGCTGCAGTGGCTGTGAGTGTGCCACTACACTCCAGCCTGGGTGACAGAGTGAGACTCTGACTCAATTATCTTAAATGTAAATGGATTAATTTCTTCAATCAAAAGACAGAGATGGAAAGAATGGGTAAAAAATCATGATGCAGCTGGGCTCGGTGGCTCAGCCTGTCGTCCCGCGCCTTTGGGAGGGTGAGGGGAGCAGATTGCCTGAGCCCGCGGGCTCGAGACCCGCCTGGGCAGCAAGGCCTCATCTCTACAATAAATCAAAAAATCAGCCAGGTGTGGTAGCACCTGCCTGTAATTCCGGCTACTGGGAAGGCTGAGGCGGAAAGATCATTGGAGCCCAGCAGGTCGAGGCTGCGGTGGCCGGGAGCGGCCACTGCACTCCAGTCTGGGCGACAGAGTGAGACTCCAACTCAAAAAAAAAAAAAAAGAACTGTAAACATTTATGCACCTAATAAGGGACCCTAAAAATATATGAAGCAAATATTGACAGAACTGAAGAGAGTGATAAACAATTCCACAATAATAGTTTGAGATTTCAATACCCCATTTTCAATGACATAAAACAACCAGACAAAAGATAAGTAAGGAAACAGAGAACTTGAACAATACAATGAACCAATTAGATCCAACAGCCATACAGAACACTTTGGCTACACATTTTCAGTAGCTTTTATTTATTTATTTTATTTATTTATTTACTTACTTAGAGTTGGAGTCTCACTCCATTGCCCAGGCTGGAGTGGAGTGGCACGCTCATGGCCACTCTAGCGTCGACCTGCTGGGCTCAGGTGATCTTTCCACCTCAGCCTTCCAAGTACATAGAACTACAGGTGCACACTACGGTGCCTGGCTAATTTTTGATTTATCATAGAGACAAGGGCTCACCACCTTACCCCGGTGGGTCTCGAACCTGAGGATTCAGGCAATCCACTTGCCTCAGTCTCTCAAAGTGCTGGGATT